TTTTTCAGACAGCCCAATCTCTCTCTAGAGTATTTTTAAAGAGTGGGTTATAAACATTATACATTCTCCTAGTTCTGCTTTTCCCTAATTAAAGACATAGAAATCACTTTGTACACATACCACACAGCGGTATATTGAAAAGTTGACCTCTGACCAGAGATGAAGTAAATAGATGACTGATTGCAAAATATGTGACAAAGGTTCCTCATCAAGAACATAAACTCGTGAATGGTAGGGAAGGACTTTGCGCGAGAGATTATTTTACACTAATGTAGTCATAAAAATGACCTGTCAAGAACGATTGAGAAGGTTAATATTTCCTTGGCTTTCTCATTTTTGAAATATGCTTTTCCAAGGCTCCAGTGTAAACAGGCAAGCAAGTGTTCTGACATACATACTATATTTGAAGAGCTTAGAATGTACAATACATATATTATCTTCTACTAAATATATTTTTGGAAAGGTACAGAGATATTTGTTTCTTTTCTCATTCAGGAAAATAACTTGCTTTTAGTAGTTATGTGTTTAGCTTAATACAATAAGCTAAGCCTGTATGTGGTATGTGTCTTCCAATTGGTATTGTTCTAGTGTGGATTTTGTTTTTGCAGAGTGGTGGCAAAGTACCCTGAGAGGGTTGTGAAAACTGAAGTAAGTTGCAAACTTCTCCCACCCTTAGGCACTATTTATAGTAGCCTATGAATGGCATAAGCCATTCATCTGCAGTATTTTCTATCCACAAAACCAAAAACCAAACCTACTGCTGTCGAGTCAATTTCAACTCATAGCGACCCTATAGGACAGAGTAGAAATGCTTCATAGGATTTCCAAGGAGCAGCTGGTGGATTTGAACTGCTGACTTTTCGATTAGCAGCCAAACACTTATTTTGGTTAGCAAAGAGCTCTTAATCACTGCACCACCGGGGCTCCATTTCTATAATTAAAGAAAAACAATATACTTGTTTGAAAGTAATCATAGTAAGACTAAGGGTAAGAAACTTGCCACTTAGCATTAGACAACTTTTTATTGCCTTCCACAGTAACATTTGTCATGGAAATATTCAGAACTCATTTTTTTTCAAAATTTAAGATTTAACTGTACAGAATTAATGAATATCACCAGCATAAAAGTTTCCAGGTTATGAGGGAGTGAACTGAAATAAAAAACAACAAGGATTCTCTTCAATTTCCTGACAGTTCAGTTAATCATATGTATTTCTAGTCATACCTCATATGTACATAGTCTTTCCCCTTAAAAAGACTTTATTTCAGTTCACAAAAGACATACTCTTAGATTCAGTAGTTTTTAAATCCAGTATTGAGACTCACATCTGCTGCAGATGTGGTTGCAGAGTCCATCTTTAAGAATGGTGGCGTGGGGAAGAGCGGCACAAATGTTGATAGGTGCCGTCATTTTCCACTCATAGTGACCCCATGTAACAGAGTAGAACTGCCCCATAGGGTTTTCTTGATTATAATCTTTATGGAAGCAGATCACCAGGTCATTCTCCTGCAGAGTGGTTGAGTGGATTTGAATTGCCAATCTTTCGGTTAGCAGCTGAGTACTTAACTGTTGTGCCACCTGGGCTCCTTTAGAGGGTGGAAAGTGCATAGGCTGGCAAATCAGAACTTCATTTAGGGCTTGGCTCTGCCACAGCTAACTGCTGACTTTGGGCAAGTCACATTACTTATCTAGACCTGTTTCCTTAATGTATAAAGAGACCAGAACCACTTCGAGTGGCCATTTTAACTGATTCCCTCTGCAGCCCTAATTAGAAAGTCATTTCACGTAATTTAACCCCTGTTTTTTTTACCTCTCTGTCTTCCCTGAACTTTCTTTCTTGTTAGGAAAATCTGGGGTGTTAGACCTGAGACATCATTAAATTGAGTTTTCACTTTGTGTTTAAATAACTCCAAAGGCCCCTTTTATATCACAATTTCTAGTTCTTTTGTTGTTAATTTTGAGTCACTTTTCTGATGACTAAAGAACATCTTTGAGTAATTTTTTTTTCAACAAGAGTACACGGGTAGTATATTTCCTAAGACCCGTGTCTTCATACATCAATTTGTCTAGGTGTGAAATTCATACATCCTTTGTAGTCTACATTTTTTCTCAACACCATGAGAATGTCTCCATTTTCTTCTCATATTTACTCCTCTTTCAACAAACATACACAGTTCCTTTTTAGCCTAAAAACCCTTTTATTCCATACTCCTAATTTTCATAAGAATAAATTCCAGTCTATTTTGTTCACAGCTGAATCCATTGTATCTTTCACAATACATGATATATAGTGTGTACTGAAAATAGTTTTGAATGACTTCCTTATCTTTTGTTTCTTTTGGTTTATAGTTTATGGTAAGTCTTCTCTGACTTCTGTATCCGTCATCTTTTCTCTGGTTTTCATTCTTCATCTCTTTACCCTTTTGCTCTCCATTCCAGGCAGTCTCTTGAGTTTGACATACATACCACTGATTACTGAGACCTGGTGGTCCAGTGGTTAAGAGCTTGGCTGCTAACCAAAAGGTCAGCAGTTCAAATCCACCAGCTGCTTCTTGGAAACCCTAGGGGGCAGGTCTACTCTGTCCTATAGGGTCACTATGAGTCAGAATTGACTCAATGGCAATGGGTTTGGCTTTTTTGTTTTTGTTTTTACCACCAATTACATTTTCTGCATTGTCAGTTCTGCTTTTTATTGCTTACAAAGATTTACATTCTACTACTGAGTTTCTAGTTCCCTGTATTTTTTTTTAATAGCAGTAGGACAACTGTTTATCTTAGATTGTTGTGTTTTTATTTCATCCTGATTTTTTAATAATCTAATCTTGTCAAATAGACTTTTTCCTCCCCAGTATCATTTTAAGAATACTGGGCAAAATTTTCTAAAATTATCCTGTAGTAAATTCTCATAACTAATTATGGCCTACACAATTTCAGGTGGATTCTTCCCTAATTTTCTTTTTTGTTTATTCATCCTGTATCAAGAAAATATATATATATCTATCTTTCTAGTAGATTTAAAATATAAAGATTACTAGGATTTACAGGAACTTTGAAAGAGAAGGAAAGACAGAATTAACTTTGTAACTATTTAGAGTAAATGTGATTGCAAAGTGCCAGGAAAGGCCCCTCCCCCTAAAATAACACTCATTCAGCTAATGGATTTCTGAAATGAAATAGAGAAATGTAATTAGCTTAAGGCTTTTTAAGATGCAAATGCCACCAGTGCTGTATACCTTCAGACAGTTGCAGATAACTGGTTAAGTCACATCTTGTGAATTAACTTTTCAAGAAATTTTCTGAGAGAGGACTTGAAGAAACCCAAGGACACCTAGTTTCTGCGGGAAATGGGGTAAAGAAATCAGCCCCAAGAAAAGGAAAAAAAAAAGGGGGGAAGGGGCCTATAAAAAGGGGAGCCTAAGGACGTGAAAGACACATTTTGCCCACTTCACAATATAGCCCATGGAGTGACCCAACAAAGTTATTCCAATTCTTTTAAATGTTTAAAAGTGTTGAAACTTACTATTTCTGAAATGAATATCATTTTGGAAAGAGCTCTGTTGAGAATGGAGGAAAGTGATACTTCTGCTTTTTTCTAATGCATAAAAATTATGAGAGGAAAGGGGTGAGAAAGAGAATCCTGGTTGTCCAAATTGTTTTTAGATACATACCCTAAATATAATTGTCAAGTATTACCAGATAGTTGTTGTTAGGTGCCATTGAGTTGGTTCCGACTCATAGTGACCCTATGTACAGAATGAGACACTGCCCGATCCTGCACCATCCTCACAATCTTTGCTATGCTGGAGGCCATTGTTGCAGCCACTGTGTCAATCCCTCACATTGAGGATTTTCCTCTTTCTAGCTGACCCTCTACTTTACCAAGCATGATGTCCTGCTCCAGGGGCTGGTCCCTGCTGATAACATGTCCAAAATACGAGCGGAAGTTTCACCATCCTTGTTTCTAAGGAGCATTCTGACTGTACTTCTTCCAAGACAGATTTGTTTGTTCTTCTGGCAGTCCATGGTATATTCAGTATTCTTCAGCAACACGATAATTCAAAGATGTCAATTCTTATTTGGTCTTCCTTATTCATTGTGCAGCTTTCGCATGCATTTGAGGCGATTGAAAATACCGTGGCTTGGGTCAGGCGCACCTTAATTCTCAAAGTGACGTCTTTGCTTTTTAACACTTTAAAGAGGTCTTTTACAGCAGATTTGCTCAATGCAATACTATATATTCATGTTAATATATGACTGATGCAAATATTTATTAACATAAGAAATTATGGTTTATAGCATAACTTTTTTTATTGATACTTTGCAAGATGCTTTTTCTTCTATGCTGTATTGAATGTGTATATCTAATTATATACATATCATACCCATATTTCATTGCTACAAGCCTCCCTTGTCAGCCATCTTAAGTAAAAACTCCCATCTGATTAAATTGACATCTGGCATTTTCATAACATTAGTCAAATTTTCTTTTGAACATGTCTTTGAGGAACAGATTCATGCCCATACATATTTAATATGTATGTGTAAATAACTGTTGTTAGTTGCTGTTGAGTCAGCTCCAGCTCATAGAGATCTTACATAGAACAGAACAAAACATTGCCCAGTCACGTGCCATCTTCATGGTCATTGCAATGTTTGAGTCCATTGTTTTGACCACTGTGTCGATCTATCTCACGGAGGGCCACCCTTGTTTTTACCAGTCCTCCACTTTACCAACCATTATATCCTTTTCTCGCAGTTATCTTTCCTAATGATGTGTCCAAAGTAAGTGAACCACATTCTCGCCATAACCAGAAATACAAGTATATCCTTTTGAGAAAATCTTAATACCACTAAAGTGAGAAATCATCCTAGAAGGCTTTGCTTACTTTTATTATCATTAAACCTTTATTTTGGTTTGTCTTCTAGGTGGGATGGAGGAGGTCACATGTTGTTGTTCAATGTGAGAGAATGTGACAGGCCATTATCTCTCCTTCTGCAGATTCTCTATAGATTAAAAGAAAAATTTCAGCTTTCCTTGAGACAAGATAAAGAGAAAAATCAGGAGATCCACTTATCACCCATCGTGTTACAGACCACACAGTCCGAGGCAAAGACAGTGAACAGCATGGTCCAGCCTGAGCAGGCCCCCAAGGTGCTGAATGTTGTCGTGGACCCTCAAGGCCGATGCACTCCTGAGATCAAAGCTGCCACCTCTGCGTGTCCTTCGCCTTTCAAGATGAAGCCCATAGGACTTCAGGAGAGGTAAGGGCTTTGCTGTATCCCTTACATGTTGTGTTTTTAAAAGTATTCACCAACTGGATGGGGAAGTTTAGAAACAGTGGTAATAGTTGCACAACTTGATGAATATAATTAATGTTACTCAGCTGTACATGTAAAAAAGAAATGATAAATGTTTCTATACATGTATCATAATTAAAAAATTTGTTTAAAGTATTCACCTACTGGAAAGGATAGAGCTAGAGATGGTTGACATAATCGGGTGGAATCATTCACCCCCCATTGAAGGCCCCCCAACTCCCCAGGGCTCAGTCCCAAAAGATGCAAGTTCCCACTGGTACCTGCACTCTCAAAGCAGCCACTCTAAACTTCTCCCTCCCCAGAGCCCAGGGACTCTTTTATCAGGCTTTGAGAACAGAAAAGTCTGCTCTTACTCCTGGCATATTCTCCCATATCTGACATCCATACCCCAGTCCTGCCACTAAGGGCCTGCCCTTTAAAACTCAAAGCCCAGGACAGGATTCAAATTCCTCTGCTTTCTGCTATTACATTGCTTCCCAAAGGCAATAAAACACCAATCCTGACAGCCTGAATACAGGGAAGATGCAAAGGTGAAGGAGGGGTGGGAATGGTGAGAAGGAAGGGAATACAAGGAAGGAATTCAAAGCATCACTTCCTCTTGGAAGTGATTCCAGGTTCCCCTTGCCGCATTCCTATCCCCTTCTTCCTTCGGCCCACCCTGCTGGCTCTGTTGTAGCTACCTTTCTTCTGCTTTAATCCCATAGTCATACGGGTATACAGTATTTACAGCACTTCTTGTGTGTATTTTAAATTTTGATTTACCTGTCTTACCAATAGACTCTAAGCTTCTTGAAAGCATATATATGATTTAATTGTGTCTTCATCTCTTGGATATAGAACATAATTCTTGAAAAGCAGGAGCTCCTGGAAAGAAAGGCTTGAATGAATGAATGTTATCACAGATAATTTTCAAGTCGTTGCAGAGAAACACTTGGTTTATTCCATCACCCCTTTCTCTTCATTTTTCACTCCATTTTTCTGCCCTAATTCCCTGCCAAGATAAGATTAGTGAAGAGTTTCAAGAGCGATAAAGGATAAAGGACATGAGGTGTTCCATGAGGTTAGAGAACTTTTCTGAGAGTTTTAAGTCTTAAAACTTAATTTATGTTCATAGATTCTTATGGTGCCTTTAAAGTAGCCTGGAGTTTTACAGTTCTCCATCTCTTGCCCCCAGAGTGGAGTAATAATCCTCTGTTTATTACATGAAAGTCTGGCTTCATTAAAATCACCTTGAGGCCATAAAGGCTCCATTATGAGTTGCTTGTCCCAAAAACCTTTTGGGTCATGCCATATAAATCTCTCATCACTAATGGGGAGAATCTATTACTCTACATTATCAATAATAGAGACTAAATGCATATGCTTAGCTGAGGGCAAAGGATACACCCCCAAAACTATGAAGATTAAAGATTCTCATGAGATGAGGGAAATAACAACTCCCTCTTCTTTTCTCCCTGTTTCCAACCAGTCAAAAAATCATATTGATCTTGTTCCTCTGTTTTTCTCCTTAATGATTCCCTCCTTACTGTAACCATCACCCTTGACCTAGGGCTCATTACTTCATAACTGAATTATGTCTCATGATTTTAAAAATGACACTAGACTAATGTGGGTTATATATTTCACATATATTATTTTATTTCACCTAATTTGCCTGCATGTAGTTCTATTCCCTCCTTCAATCCCTACTATATACTCTTCCGATTTATCTTGCTGTAACAATACAAGTATTACAGTTGTCCCCAACTTATGATGTACTGGAGTTATGACGAACCGCACTTATGACTGTCTATTTTTTGTTTTTGGTACATCTTAGTGTTAGTAATATGTACTGCATACCATGCAGCAGCCCTTAATTTGCTGATGTTATCATTCTCAGATGTTCACTTGCAGATGTTCAATGTTACGATTTACTGTTCAAAACGTTGCTGTATAGCAGGCTATAGCAATAGTAATGAAAACAAAAAAATGAGGCTTTCGACTTATGTCAGAACAGACTTATGATGGAGTCATCGGAACATGTATATGATTTTGTCTTACAAAACTCCTCAATGCCTCCCCTGTGGGCCTTTGAGGTCCCTGATCATTCTCTCCAAATCTATTTGCCGCTTCTCCCCCAAAATAAACCTTCCATTCCCCCTACTCTGTTCTCCACCGTATCCTCCCAAATGTGCTGTGTTCCTGTCCACATTTGCACCTTTGTTCACCTGGTCCCTCTTCTTCCCTCCTCCCACCCATCTCTAGACTCCAAAGCCCAACGTGAAATTTACCTCCTACTATTGGCCACGTAACTTAGCCATGACCGCGGTGATCTCTAACACCTCTGAATTCTCACATGCATCACTCATTCTAGCAGTGATTTTAATTAAATAATAATTCATAAAGGGACTGAAACTGGTTTTTGAGTGATTTATTCTGTCTTTTAACCAGATTGTAAGAATCTTAAGGACAGGTACTGTGACTCAAGATCCTCTTGTGTCTTCCATGGTTTCTGTAATACTTGTGCATAGTAAACACTCAAAAAAAAAAACACAGAGTTAATTAATTAATTAATTTTCCTGTACATCTGGGGGTCTCATATATTTCCAAAGAAGATTTCATAAGAACAAGTGGCCTAATGATAAACTACACAGCTAAGATTCAAGAAACCTTGTTCTAATATAAATTTAGCTATTTACTAAAGGAATGACTCAACAGGTCAATTAACTCTTCTTTGAGGTAGTTTTCCCAATATACAAAATAGAGATAATAAGACCTGCCCTGCCCTACTTCAAAGGGATGCTGTAAAATTAACGATCAATATAACATGGCATTGTGCCTTTAAGAAGGAAAAGGGAACGCTAGTATTCTTTTAGTTTTTGTTTTATGATTATTTTTTACAAGCCTGTACTGGGTCAATTATATTTTCCGACTCATAAAAGTTGAGACATTGTTTTCACTGAATTGATGCAGTGAAATTGTCATTTGACATCATAAATATTTTCTCAAGTGTCAATTGACTTAGTTTTTCTCACTCAATTTATTATTTATAAACTGCATCACGTAATGTTATCTAACAAATATCAACATCAAATTAAATGTATTCTAGTGTAACAAATAAATTTATTTCCCATGGCGAATCCATGGATTGGGGAGACAAATTCAAATATCTGCTCCATACTTTGTATGTCTATAACTTGGGATTTGCTTTTACACCTGTAATGAGGAGAGAAAAACATGTGGCACACACAGCTTTCGTGAAGGTTAAGCTAGACAGTAGATGAGTCAGAATAGACTCGATGGCAACAGGTTTGGTTTTATGGCTTTGGCACAGCATAAGGCCATAGATGCCTCCTGTTCCCTCCCCTGCTTTAGCCCACCCCTGTCCTACCCAAACTGAATCCTCTACTTACCAATCTCAAGAAAACTGTATACAGGCCAGGTTCCAAAAGCCCAGTAAACAAGGAATCACATTCAGGCCCTAGAATGGTACATTTTCCACAGTGAGGAGACAGAGAACTCGAAACCTTCTTCAGATTCGTCATGAGTCTACTGTCTGACTAATCTCCAGTTTTATGGAAAATAAAATCAACAGGTAAACGGGTATGTTCACACTATTTCCTCATTTTTCTTGCATTATTTTCAATTAGGAGTAACAACTGAACAAGGACAGTTAGAGAACCGTCCAGAAAAGAAGTGTGGGTCATCATCACATGGGGCTTCCTTCCTTGGTGATCAGTAGGGAGCTAGTAGGGATATCTCATTAATAGAGGTCTTCTTCCTAGCATAACCCCCAAGGATTGCTTATACTCGATGAATACATATTCTCTAACTTTCCTTAAGTTATACTACAATGTGGTTTATTTTGGGTGTGCATAAGTACTCTGTAGATGATACAATCAGTGTCTAGGTGTGTGGGTTTAAAGGCTTTCTTAGGGGTTAAAACCTGGTTCCTGGAAGAATCCTATCAGAGCTAGAACTATGTGTCATATAGTGGAAACATTGTAAAGGGGGGCCTTGCCAGGAAAGTGTAGGGTATTCTACACCCAAAATCAAAGCCTTTATTTACTGTAATTTCCTCCCGCAAGGTGGAACGTCCTGACTTCTGTCCTCAGCTCCCCCTAGTGGAGAAACATTTCAATGCTTACTTGATTAAAAATTTTGATTTATAAGGTTCTGGGGAAACCCTGGAAACCCTGGTGGTGTAGTGGTTAAGTGCTACGGCTGCTAACCAAAAAGTTGACAGTTCAAATCCACCAGGCCTTCCTTGGAAAACCATATGGGGCAGTTCTACTCTGTTCTATAGGGTCGCTATGAGTCGGAATCGACTCGTTGGCAACAGGATTGGTTTTCGGGTTTAATGGCTCCTCAAGGAGCCCTGGTGACACGGTGGTTAAGTGCTCAACTGCTAACCAAAAGGTCAGCAGTTTGAACCCACCAGCGACTCCACAGGAGAAAGATGCGGCAGTCTGCTTGCGTAAAGATTACAGCCTTGGAAACCCTATTAGGCAGCTCTACTCTGTCCTGTAGGGTGGCTATGAGTCAGGCTCTACAGCAACAGGTTTGGGTTTTAATCGTTCCTCAACTTATCTCCCTTTGAAAGATATGAGTAAAGAAACAGGTTATAGGATGGATACAACTGAACATCAGGTCACAGAGTCTACAAAATGACTCTGGAAATGAAAACCTGTAATCATAAAACAGACTCATCAGTGTAAATGAATCCAACTCCCTCATTTTCTATTAGAGACACTGAGGCACAGAATCTTGCTGTCTTAGGCCTTAGGTGAAGTTCGCTGAAAGTATAGCCTGAAAACGGGACCTTTGTCTAAGTGATTCGTTGAGAGAATGGTCTCAGAGAAACCTGCAGGGAAGTCAGGGAAGCAGAGAAGAGAAGCAGTGGCCAAGCAGAGGTGTGGTTTCAGCTGACGTCTAGCCTCAGCCTGATCCCGCATGGATAGTTG